CACACACACACACACACACACACACACACACACACACAAACAAAAAACCAAACCCTATAGTCAACTAAAGAATGTTGAGAGCTATAGAAAAGTCTTCTCCAGGAAAGAATATACCAATTGGTTGTCTAATATCAAACAGTTGGCACTAAAAACATACATACAAGTAACATTGTATAGATTAAGCAGGTTATATTTAGAAATATATATATATATATATATATATATATATATATATATATGAAGCCAATCATGAAAACCCATATATAGTATGCATCAGCTTGTTCTATATATTAAAAATGAACAAAATATAGAGACAGAAAGACAATTGCCTGGGAGCAGGGAAGAGACTAATTGGAAATGCTAATGGAGCTGAGGGTCTTGCTTTCTGGGACATGTACATATATGCATATAAAAACAATTAATTAAAAATGAGGTCATTATTTCAAAGAGAGCAAGGGGGGATATATAGGAGGGTTTGGAGGGAGGAATGGGAAGGGGGAAATGATATAATTATATTAGAACTTGAAAAATAAATGATTAAAAAATGTGGTGACTAAAAGGTGTAATTTATGTTTAATTATTTGTTTACTTTTCTCTACTTACAAAATTAATCATACATAGGCCAGTGAGATGACTCAGTGGGTAAAGGTGCTTACTGCCAAGCCACATAAGCTGAGCTCAATCCTGGGAACCCACATGACAGAAGGAGAACCAATCCCTACAAGCTGCCCTCTGACCTCTACACGTGTGCCCATACCCACACAGCATAAATTTAAAAAAAAATGTAACTAAAACTAAATGTGGCTAATAAAGAACTGATCAAAAAACTAACTGTATTCTTAAGGCAAACTTTTGGAAAAGCCAAGTGAGAACATATCAGAAAGCAAACATCTTACCCAGAGGGAACCTTCTTGTCTATATTTATGTAACATACTCTATGGTTCTCCTTCATTTATGTGCAGGCTGTGGATTCCAAATCTGAGGCTGATACTGACAAGGGACTGAAGCGTACTCCATCGGAAAAGTGCTTGTCACACAAGTCTGAGCACCTGAGTTCCCATACCTGCATTAAAAGCTGGACATGGCTACATGCACTGTAATTCCAATATTTTAGAGGTGGAGACAGAAAGATCCCTAAGACTTGCTAACTAGCCAGCCTAGCCTAACCAGTGAGCCCCAGGCCAGGGAGAGACTGTCTCAAAAACACAAATATAACAAGGTAGCAAGCATCCTTGTTGAGGAATACCCAAGGTTTGAATATCAGCCTTCACACACACACACACACACACACACACACACACACACACACACACACACACACACACACACTAATGCTATGAAGTGATGCTTTTAAAAATCTGAAGAAAAATGTATTTTTAATCTAGATTCTATACCTAGTCAAACTGTCAAATCAGTATAAGACATTTGCAAGCATTTTCAGACCCGTAAAGGCTCAATGTTACCCACTACCTGTTGTTTCTAAGAAGGCTACTGGATGTCTTCCACCAAAATAATAGCACTAAGAAAGAGGAAAAACTGAGGTACAGAAAACAGGAACTAACCCAGAAAGCAAGTCAAAGGAGCAGCAGGCCTACAGCACAGCTGGCCCAGAAAGGGGGAGACATTTTACAGACTCTAAGAAAGAAATAGTCTCAAGAGATTCACTAATGTAACTCGCCTTGTGGAAATTTTATTATGAGGACACTAGAAGACTTAGAAAGAAGAAAAGCAAGTGAAAAGGACAATGTTCATTTCAGGAAAAGCAGAGAGTAAAAATAGGAATGTCATCATAGTACACTATGCTGTTCAGTTAAGAATACTATCTGTATATGCACTATAAAGTGTGAAGACTGCTTTAACTAAATTTTTAGACAATTCCCTTTGTAGGCTAGGGAACAAAGTAGAGGGGTGGTAATTCAAGACAGCTAAATCTTGATCCACACACTAGAACATTATAGGCTAAATTGATACCTCCAAGGACAGAAGTAAACACATTATTTTAGAAATATGGAAATGCCAGAAGAAACATCTAGAGGAGCTGAAAGTGGTCATATCGAAGTAGAAGGTTAGGGGAGGAGGGCACACCTTGTCTTTTAGGATCAACTTAAATTATATTAACACATTACTTTGATAAAAGAATGTATCTTAATGGACAGAAGAGCTTAATAACATACATGGAGTTTCCAAACCCTTCGCTTTGGCCATCACAGAAAGTATGTCCCGAGTGGAGTGGACAGCGCTGAAAACATGTCTGTCTTCTGATTTCTTACAAAGAGGAGGCAGGTAGCACTTCAAGGATGTGCTTTGAAGAAGGTGGTTGATATACTGGTCAAGTTCATCTTGGCTTTCTGAAATTGGACAACCAAGGAAAAGAATCCATGAAAACAAGCTGTTGAGGAGACAACATCCAGCAACATATATTTGCACCTCCACTCACACTAAAAGGATAAAGCTAGTGACAGGTATGTCATATGTATACATAAATTCATTGTTTAAAAATCTTCACTGTAGGCTAAGGGAATTCAGAATGAGACCGTGTTTAAGCCACACCATTCCCAACGCAAGCAGTAGAATATGAGAACAATCTGAAGAACAGCAGCTGACGTCCTGTCTGAATCCTAGAATAAGCTAAGCCTTATGGAGCTTTCTGTACCACTTGTAAACGTTACCTAAACGTAAAGCCAGAGCCCGGTGGTGGTGGCTCATGCCTTTAAGTCTAGCATTCAGAGAGAGAGGCAGGCAGACCTCTGTGAGTTCAAGGCCAGCCTGGTCTACAGAGTGAGTTCCAGGGCAGCCAGGGCTGTTAAACAGAGAGACCTTGTCTCAAAAAACCAAACCAAACAAACAACAAGCAAAGTAAAAAAGATCACTTTGATTCAAAACCATGTTCAGATGAAGACATATTATATACGTGTGGGGTTTCACCCCTCATATCTAATCAAAGCTAGGTCATTCCTACCATTCCTTTCAAAAGTGAAGCAATGTGTTTCTCTTTTACGGAACTATTTCGTAAGGGCCTGGCAGTGCAGCTCAGCAGTACAGGCATGCATGAAGCTTTGGGTTCACGCTCAGGTCAGGATTTAGTTTAAATAGCTGTGCAAACCTGCTGTGGGATGGTCTGTATATCAAATTGCTCTGATTGGTCAATAAATAAAACACTGATTGGCCAGTGGCCAGGCAGGAAGTAGGTGGGACAAGGAGAGAGGAGAATTCTGGGAAGCGGAAGGCTGAGGCGGAGAGACACTGCCAGCTGCCGCCATGACCAGCAGCATGTGAAGATGCCGGTAAGCCACCAGCCACGTGGCAAGGTATAGATTTATGGAAATGGATTAATTTAAGCTATAAGAACAGTTAGCAAGAAGCCTAACGGCCATACAGTTTGTAAGCAATATAAGTCTCTGTGTTTACTTGGTTGGGTCTGAGCGGCTGTGGGACTGGTGGGTGACAAAGATTTGTCCTGACTGTGGGCAAGGCAGGAAAACTCTAGCTACACAAACCCCTTGAAGGAGCACCAGGAGCAGCTGGTGCAAATGAACCACAGAGGTCTGAGGGGCAAATGGACCATATTAAAAAAGAAATAACTAGAGAGAGGGCTGGTGAGGTGACTCACTGGGCAATAGTGCCTGCTGCCAAGCTTGACAAGCACAGTTCAATCGTCAGGATTCACATGGGGGAGCAAGAGAGTCACCTTCCGAAAGCTTGACCTCTACATATGTTATATATGTCATGGTATGCCACACATACACACAAAGAGAGAGACAGAGACAGAAACAGAGAGGGAGAGAGAGAGAGAATAACAGAGAGAGATAGAGAGACAGAGACAGAGAGAGCTAGAGAGACAGAGACAGAGAGAGTAAATAAATAAATGGGAGACATTTTTTTAAAAAGTATCAATCTATGAGCAGTCTTGTACCTGAGACTTTCCTACGGGCTTATGAAGCCCTGTTTTCAAGGGCACCAGTGTAATTTAGTTTCTTACACCAGTACTTCATTTGTTTGAGTGAGCAGAATCTTCAGAAGCCTTGTTTTTGTTTGCTTTTAGCTCACTTGTCAATTGTTTTTTCTGTATTTGGGTCTTAGGCAATTTTATCGTAGTGTCAAGGTTTAAACCAATTCAACCAACAATCCACGGAAGCACCCGCCGCAAGGTACCTGGATGACTGCTGTCCTCCAGGTATCCTCCTATGTCTGACTCACTGTCAGGACTAAAGCTCCCATCGCTGACGTCATCAAACAACTTCTCGTCACAGTCTGGATCCAGGAAGGTCAGGTAGGTGTAGAATGAGGTAGTGAGGAACTCTGCCAGGTTTCCTAGTTTTACTCTGTCAAGAAGGTACTATGTTAGGGATGCAGGTGGAGTGCTGACAGACTTCCACTGAGCATCACTGGGAAACTCGTCAACAGCTAGTTCACACCTCTGTAGGAGTCAATAACTCTATTGGCCCTATCAAGACAAGAAACAAACCCAAAGATTCAATACAAAAGTTGGGCGTGGTGGGGAATTCCTGTAATTCCATCACTTGGGAAGTAGGAGCAGGAGGACCAGAAGGTTGGGACCATCTTCAGCCTCACAGAAAGTCTGAAGCCAGCCTGGACAACCTAAGACTGTGCCTCGAAAAGCAAAACCATCAAAACATTTATTCACAAGTATGAAGTGAAAGCACATAGCATTTAATGGCGAAAGATTCATGCCACATTTCTGTCCCCGAACCTAACAAATACAAATGCACTTTCCTGATCAGCTAACAATTTTACAAAATAAACTGAGTAAACCCCTTTCAGTTAGAATCAAGCTCTGGGATTTCTCTCCCTTAAAAACTGCATTAGAAGCAGTAATTCCCCTGGCGTGCTTGTCCCTGCCATGGAACATGGTGAGACAGGTGCAGGAGATTTATGATGCAAGCCACATGCCTCAGAGTGAAGGGTCTCTCTCTATGCGAGTCACTGGATTAACCTACCATCCTCACATTGACACCCATGCCCCCTGCACAGACCCTACTGTATTGGGCTGAGAAATGCTCCACTGAAAACCAGCAGCTTGGGTCTTGCTGGAGAGGTATCAGCAACCAAGATACTGGGAGCCCACCCGCTTTCTGCCCTACAGAAATGTCAGATATTGAAGTGGAAGACAACAGGACCTCCCTCTGAACTCCCAGCATCAGATCAATATTTATTTAATATGCCTGAGAACCGAAGAATCCAGAATAGATTGGTTATGGAGGAAATCAGAGTATGCAATTCAACACCTTCATAGGTGCCCAAGTTTCAATGGGCAAAAGGCACAGGACAAGATGACAGTTGGGGAAGAGAAGTCTGTCCTTAACTAAACAAAAGCCTTCTCGCGGGGAGCCAAGGGCCAATTCTACGGCTTGTTTTGTTTGGTCCCGGGATTGGGGAGGTGGTCCGGGAAAGCCAAAATGCAACGGAAACCTTTCCCTGATGCAGGTGAAAGCAGCGGTCTTTATGAGCTAAAGAGAGCTCAAAGGAAGGCAGGCACCTAAAAAGCTTTTGGTAGCAGGAGACTCCAAGTAGGTCTAGTAGGTACAGTGAGTTCAACTTTTTTTTTTAACAAAACGAAACAAAAACAACCTTAAATATAAAGAAACCCAAATGGGACTCAATCTTAATTATCCAGAACTGAATTGGGGGCTGGAGTATTGCTCTGGGGTAGAGAACATGTAAGCCTGAGGCCCTGGATTTGATTCCTAGCGCTACAAAACAAACCATAATTGATTACAACAGGTAGCGGAGAGAGCCTCAGCATTCCGATTTCGTCCGTGGTTCTCTTCCCAGTGCTTTGTAAAGAGGAGGCCCTAGGTCTAAGGGTTAGAAGTTGGTTCTGGCTCACCAAAGAGCTCCTATACCTATTTGTCTTATAGCCCTGGCACTCTGAGCTCATGGTTCCTTACCCATAGATGAGACTGTAGCTTGCCACAAAGCGAAGACTAAATGAGACAATGTTCAGGACACATTGCAAAACTCCTAACGGCACACTATATTCTTTTTACAGCGATCAGATTTCAATAAAATAACGTATTTGGTAAGATGGTTCATCATAGGCCTGTGATATTTTCTTCTGGTCATGATGCTGTATACCAGGTGGCAACTTAACCAAGCTAGAGGCAAACTGCTCCGAAGGAGATGCTGGTGGGAGTCCCGGTGCCAGCCCTGCAAATGTAGATGGTACCACCCTGGGGACTGTCTTGACTGATGCTCCTAAAGGACCAAGGGAAGCCTGCACGGGAAGCCACTTCTAGGCTACAGTGGGGCCCATAGGGAGCTACAAGGGCACAGATGACAACTTCAGGAGCTGCAAAGAAAACCACTTGGGGCCAAAGTTTAAAAAAGGTTAAGTTCACCTTGAAGGACAACAGTGAGGTAGCAAAAGGAGCTAGTCATTACAAGCTCTTACATTATACAAGTTGTCTGTCTAAAACCACGGGGACACAAAAATAGATAGGGTGCTGCAGACAGGCAGGTCAGCAGAGACAGACAGGCAAGTCAGCAGAGGGTTGTTTCTTGCCTATGGTGTTCTAGTTCTGCAAGATGGAAAGTGTCCTGGAGATCTGTTTCACATGATGGGAATGTACTTGACATCATGAGCTGCAAACTTAGATATGGTGCAAATGGCAAGGCAAAAGATATTTTATCTGAAATTTAAAAAAAAAATCATGCTTTCCCTGTGGCACCAGGTGGGATGCTGTCTGAAGAGGTAACTTGACTTCCAAACGCTGTCAGCAGCTGGTGAGCTAGCCCGAGGGAATCCTCTCTGCCTGGGGAAGGTCTCGTGGTCTGACCGGAGAGTGAGGCTCCATTGGGAAGTTATCTGACATACTCCCAGAGATTCATGGAGCTGAAGATACAGAAGCTACAGATAGATCCTCTACTGTGGGTCACTCAGAAGGACAACATGAGAAGGAGGTTCCTGTCGAGTTAGCAACCCTATTCACCTAAGGTGCCTGAGAATCATACTGGAGAGAGTTGTACTCTAGGACAACAGACCCAAATAGGTGCCATGCCACTGAAGCTGGTAGACAGTGACTCATGCAGGACTAATCAGGTGCCTCGTTTCTGAGGGCCATTGAGAAACCTGTCAAGTCAGCTTTCATTGAGTACCTCTGGCCCCTCGCTAGGTCATGCTGCAGGAGGGATAACGCCTCTAAGGGACTGAGGTGTTCACCTCTCTAAGATGGTAGACTTCTGGTGCCCAGGAAAGTCTAATAAGCAACGACCAAATGGTGCTTTAGACCTGATTCAAGTTGCCCATGGGAGATGGAATTAGCTTCCTTCTTACTCTAATATTCTGCATTTCTAGATTCAGAAATTGATGCAAACAGTGGGAAGAGGACAGTAAGAGACTTTCAGGAAGGTCAATGCTCTTCTTGTTTAATGAAAAGAAATCCCAACTTACCTAGCACCTCCAAAATATCCATCTTCTAGTTTCCTGATTGTAGAAAGAACTGCAGGATGAATATCTGATCCATCACTGGCTAAGGAAAAAAAAAAGATGAATGAGTTTTCTTCCTCTGGGAGTCCAATGCACTGCAATGTTCTCATCAGCACAACCCAATCAAAACCCTTATGGTACAGAAGATTCCCGAGACAAAGAAGTCAAATGGCTAAGGATCCCCTTCGGTACTTGGCACTGTCCACAGGAACTGTACTACACATTTAGGTAAGAGCCCATGACCCAACAGATGGAGTTCACAGAATTACTGAGCATGGTGTGCGTGACAGGAAAGGTGAGTGTGGGGCGGCCGGTCATCCGCCAGCAGGTGCACAGATAGGCCAGCTCGATCCTCAGCATCTCCACAATCATCTCGTTGTCCAGGGCCAGGTAGAAGTGATGCTGGTCCGTGAACTGAAAGTTAGAACAGGCCAAAGTCAAGGGCCACCCTTCACTTATTTCCACACGACATCTGTCACTCGGGGCAGCACTGATCCTGAACCTCTTGCCAGGGAAGATGTTTGGTACTGGGCCTCAATCTTCTGATCAGGCGGCCACTTTCTCTGAGATGAGACATAATGACCTGTCAGCTGCTCAGAAGCTGCAGCTACACTGGTGTGAAAGGGAAGGTGTGTTTCTAGACCTGCCTTCAGCTCTTCCCATAGGGGATCTAAGTGTCTTCCTCACCACTGAGGGCAAATAAGAGCCTGTGATTGCTACCTCTTTTGGAGCTACTGGGTTCGCAAATACTTCCCAGGTGAGGGAGAGCTGGGAAGACTGTCCATCTGACTGATGCCTGCTTAATGCCGGTCAGAGGTACTACCACATACTGATGCAAATCCAACTGTCCTCCTGACCTCTCTGCTAGTGCACACTCACATCAGCATTCAGAACTTGGAACTAAGAGAAATAGTTCGTAAGGCTGAAAGTGGCAGCTGCTGAGGCAAGACCTCACAACCAACCACATGTGCAGGCAGACAGGGGTCCATGCTGTGACTCACAACTGGCAAAGTGACCACATTGCTAATCTTTCTAGCTTCTCAAATGGAGAAAACTTTTTTTTTTTGGTATATGCTTCCACTAGGTTAGTTTTCTTTAGGAACAAAAATTCTAAAGATAAGTACTACTGTCAGTGGATTCTGAATCTCAGGAAGGGGCTGGGGACCTGCAAACCAATGCAGTTGTATGTCATACTGAGAGTTCTAGGACAACCTTCACAAAGGCTAGGGACTACTCATGTTAGCTGATAGGAGCCAAGGGACATGTCACATTGTAAAGCAATGTGGATTTATTTAAAAGTCATGCCTGGAAGTGATGGCATATTCAATTTGATTCAAGTAACATCAATTGAGCACCTATTGTAAACATTTTCTATACTTCCACCTGATCCCATACATATAAAATTCTTCCACGTTTGAAGGAGAAATGCTTATAGATAGAAAAGAGAACTTATTGAGAGGATGCTGGATGCTGGCTTATTTTCTACTGCCCCCACTTATTTCTTCTGTTTTTTAAGATAGGGTCTTACAATATAGCTCTGGCTGGTCTAGAACTCACATAGACCAGGCTGGCCTTGAACTCATGGAGTTCCACCTGTCTCTGCCTCCCTAGTGCTCAAATTAAAAACATGCACAACCATGCTCAGCTGGCCTGTTCTTTTTACCTGGGGTGTAAAAGTGAAGATCTGGTTCCTAATCACATAGAGTTTAGAGGTGCCAAGGACACCAATGTGCCGATATGGTCGACCACCCAACTTCATATTCTTATTTCGTCCTATTTGAAATAGAAAGGAGAAACTGGAGTTAGAGAAAATGAAGTAACAGCTATTCTTGGTGACCTAGGCTAAGGCTGGGCTTATTTTTGTGTCAGACAATATATGCAGGGGTTTGTTTTGCTTTTCAAAAAGTGGGACAAAGTTGAACAGAGAAACAAATCCTACCCCCTCTCTTCATGCATGGACATGAATAATGTCAGTTTGTTCTATATGAAGAACTATTAAAAGGACTTTATTAATACTGGCTTTGAATTTACTTAGTAGTCAGCCATAAACCAAACAAATTCAGATTCTAAGAAAAGGGAACCGACTCCTACTTTAATAGGTAAAATGAGTATTTGGGGGTACCACAGATAACAATTAGAAGCTGCATCCAGACACCCGTGACTCTTTCAACTGTGACATTTCAAAGGGAGTTGCTTATTCTCCAACAGCTCTGCCAACCCTCCTATGGCAGTATGGGTTGGCCGAGCTGAGGGGAATCTGCTTGCCTGTCCATTCTTCTTCACAACGGAGAGGACCCACTGGTTGACCTGCCCAGTGCTCTGCCCAGGTCTGCAGAATTTACAACAAAGTTTTCTCACACCCAAACCCAGGACCTAGAAAGGCTCTCTTTGCCCGCTATCCCCCAATACTTCCCTGACCTACCAAGTTTGGCATATATGTGACTAAGAATCCGGCCTGGCTGGACTTGAATCGGATGCACATCAGCAATGCTCTGGACATTCACCCCATGTTGCCGCAACAGCCCCTTAACGTGACTGTTTTCCGCCAAAACAGCGACTGCAAACGAAAACACAGAATCCACATCAGATCCATGTCTGGTGTCTCTGCACACTGACACACGCTTCTCCCTTCTGCCCAGCACTAGGCATGCTAGCACACTGCCTGTGGAAATGGCGGCTGTTTGAGCCGCCGTACTCCCTGCTCGTCTGTCCTTCCTGCACCTCAACACATACAATGCATATCTGTCAAGTGCCCTCACTACGCAGGACAGTCTGAGAGCTTCTAGAAATAGTCTTCAATAGGTTCGACACCACCTTAACCTATCTGAAGTAATGTCTTGCCTCTGTCTGGGTCTGCATTTATCTAAATATGCCTTGTGTCCTTTCACACAGGGTTAGGAGTAGAAACAGCTACCTCAGGGGACGTCAGAAATCTGTGCTCTTGCTTCTAAAATGTTGGCAGGGGAAATGAGAATGTGGCAGTCTGCTTACAGGGAATGCTTTAGCTTGAGAGAAAGGAGAGGCTATCTTTCTTTTCCCTAGAAAAGAAAGCGGGCCTGCCGGTGGAGAGACTGGTAGAAGCAGGACTGTCTGGCCCACTTAGAAGCACGGCACAAAACCCCACAGGAGAGAAAGAGCACCCATCCTAGCTGGTTCGAGCCCTTGGCTTTCTGGCTGTCAGGGACCTCCAAGTATCCAGGTCCTGGCAGCCTATGCAGAAATTAGCCTTAGCTTAGGGCCACATCAGGGATGGCGGGGTGGTGTCGATCATACTAGAACTGCCTGCCTTTATGAGAAAGCAGTGTGTGGGCAAAGGGATGGAGTCTGGAGAGGGGCTTGCAGAAGAGGAGGACAGTCACAGGAAGCAGCTGGTATCTTGCCCAACTGCAGCAGAGCCTTTTGGAAACTAGAGGGACTCAGGGCCATGCTCAGTCCAGAGAACAAAGGCTAAGCTATTGTTAGGGTGTCTTCCCCAAACCCCACCATTATATCCATAGGCTGGAGGGGGGCAGCGCTGAACATATGATACATATACATGCCACTGAGAGCTGAACATTACCTCCTTACATTTACATACCACCCGATGCTTTTTAAAGGGTTTTAATACCCATGATCTCATCTTCCCAGTGAACCCTTAAGAGAAGCCATGAGAATGCTTAATTAGCCTGCAATAGATGAGGCGGAACTGGAGCCTAATCCCCTCTTCCCCCAGCCTCCAATAGATGGATTGCTGGCTATGCAGGACTGGCCAACATTTCTAAAACCATCCCTTCTGAAATTTCCACTGACAAGCAGAACTCCACACTTATCAAAGCCACACCGCTGCCACTCCCCATAAGACTGCCTCCTTCAGAGAGTAGTTGGAACTGAAACTGGGGAGAGAGAGCCTCATGGTCTGATGCAATCACATGCGATCCCTCCCTCCGCTGTTTGTGTGTAAGAGGGGCACGCATGCGCCACAGGATGTGTGTGGAGATAAAAGGGCAACTTGCAGGGGTCAATTCCCTTGTTCTACTACGTAGACTTGGGAGACTGAACTCAGGCGGTCAGGCTTGGTGGCGAAGTGCTATCACCTCTTGAGGCACCTCACAGGATCTGCACGGGTTTTTGAAACAGCCCCGGACCTTCTCCATGCGAGATCCTCTGGTAAGGCTGCTCTGTTCTACTACACTAAAAAAGTGCTGGGCTGGAGAGATGGTTCAGCAGTTAAGAGCACTCACTGCTCTTCCAGAGGACCCAAGTTTGATTCCCAGCATCCAATCAGGGCGCTCACAATTGCCTCTAACTCCAGCTCCAGAGTACCCAACACCTTCTTCTGGTCTCCTTGGGCACTGCACATAAATTCATTCTCAGATGCACACACACACACATATATACATAATGAAACATACAATCAATAGATTAAAAAATGCTGGTTGAAATCTATCAGTAAACCCCAGCCCACAGTTGGAAAAGAACTCTTGTAGATTTAAGAGTCAAATTAGCAGAATATGTGTTGGTCAAGTGTGGAGACTAAGGAGCGTAGCTGGATCAGCCAATAGGTTCCCACCTCCAGCTGTCAACCGAGATCCTTGAGTGAATAAGTTAACCTTTAAGCTTCATGGAGATAAGCAATGTTGTAAATGTTACCTAATCAGAATGTTATGGTGGTTAGCTGTACTCTGTATACACTATGGATGAGGTGACAACTTGTAGCTCTTCTCATTGTATTATGGGCATGCTCATTAAAATGGGCCAGTGGCCCCAAAGAGGAATGCTTTCCTATTTGTTCAATCATTATTTTCAGTGTGTGGGTGCACAGGTGTCAATCAACACAGAAGAGAATACAAGCCTTATCCTTAAGAAGTGTACACCCTAAGCCAGGCATGGTGGTTCGTGCCTATAATCTCAGCACTTTGGAAGACTGAGGTAGGAGGATGTCTGTGAGTGCAAGGCCAGCTTTGGCTATTTAGTGAATTCAAGGACGGCCAGTTTTACAAAGTAAGACTCTGTTTCAAAGGACCAAAAAACAATATACAATATACAAACAAAGAAAGGTATGTAGCCTAATTGAGGGGCAATGCGTTATATATACACAGCGGGCTGACATTTGACGGTATCTGAGTGTTCCACAAGGCACTCGGAGTGTGTCAGAGCTGCCACAGTCCCTTAGTGGAGGAAACGAAGGGGCTGCTGCTCTAGGTGACACCACAGGCCAGACCTAAACTGAAAGCTTCCTCCATAGCCATCTCTGTTGTTTGCAGGACTCCATGGGGAAGAGCAAGAATCCTAGCAGCCCGGAGACATGGCCTGTTGGGGTACCCTGGGAGAGGCAGCCCCACCGGGATTCTCACCATTTTGGAGGAGGAACTGGCTAAAGAGGAAGGAAGGGAGGGTGGAAGCCGGTGGCCAGACCTGAGACCTCCAAGGGACAAAAGAACTACTGCACTTTGTGGGTGGGAACAGTCCCAGTGCTTTTGGGGCCTGCCTGAGTTATACAAGGTTTCTCACAGATGCCTACATCTTACTGTACAATACACGCACATACTCTATACCTTTTTTTCTGTGTCAAGGTCTTACTACATAGACTAGACTGGCCTTAAACTCTCTAAGAAGCCAAAGGTGACCTTGACTTCTGATCCTACTGCTCTTACTTCCCTAATGCTAGGATTATAGGTGCATGCCATCATGTCTCAGTTTATATGGTGCTGAAAATCGAGCCCAGGGCCTTGTACATGCTAGGTACGCGCTTTTCCAACTGTGCTACCTCCCCAGCCTGGCTTTGAACTCTTGACCTTCCTGCCTCGGCCTCCCAAGTCCTAGGATTACAGGTACGCACTGCTGGAACCCAGCTAAACATCCTTCAGAATTTTCCGAAGAGGAACTAGGGAACAATGTGAATGAAAAATTAACGCTGATTTCATACAGTAGAAATGGATAGGAAACACGCTCACAAACCTTGTACTACAACATCAGGTTTGACTGAAGTAGAAAATCTTCTATTTAAGGGGTCAATTTCACCAGTGGCAAGGAATCCCTAAGAAGAGAGGAGCATTAACACTATGCAACACTGCTGTGACTAAGATTTCACCTTGGTCCTACACTTGAAATGACATATTCGGGGGCTCACACCCTCGAAAACCTTTTCTTCATATTCGTGGAGTCTCTCTCCATAACAGAGTATGCTACTCAGACAGCTACTGATAAATGTATTGCACGCTTGGTGCTTAGCTCTGAGGGTTACTCAAACACACCCCCACATTGTGGGAGTGAAAAGAACGCCATTTGTAGTGCTAGCTGAGTTCCTGCGTGTACACTGTCACACTCGAGTCTCCTGTGTCCGTGGGTGGGGAAGCCGACACGGAAGTGCTATAGGGAGACTTCGGTCCAGGGCTGACGGCTTGGAACAGAAAACTCTCCCCATCTTGTTGACTGGACTGTGCTCTTTAAATATATACCTTCTTACACGCTCTAGAAATGATCCAAGCATCCAAAGGGGATGAAGGTGATCTGAGATCGAGTGGACCTACTGCTGGGCCCTAGGAAGACTTGTATATTGGAGAGGAGGTCTCAGAGGAGTGGAGTTCGTTATTTCCCACCTCACACGTACTGAAATCTGAGCTGGAACGCATTGAACAGACAAGCGAGCCCAAATTTTCACTTTACAAGTGAGGCAACTGAGGCCCAGCGAGGTTAAGAGACCTGCCAGAAGTCACTGAGCTGGTTGACTACAGGACTGACTTTCAAGGGGATGTATGTGCAGTCCTATAAAGAAGGTCATGGCCATGGAACTTTGGGAGACTCAGCAACCAGTGTTCCCAGGGGATGTGTCCACTGTGCTATCTTCCACTGGTCTTTACCACACCAGCACCCCGGTAACATTCTGGTGCCCTGTCCTCTTCCCCAGTTTTGTAGGTGGCAGAGCACACAGGCTGGCCAGCCTTAGGTGGCCAGTCCCTTTCTTCTTCAGCCTCCTTCCCCACACCAGAATTCTCACTCAGGACTGGGAGATTCACTTTAAAGCTTTTCCAACAGAAGCCTGGCGGCAAGAAGGAATGGACCAGGAGGTGGGTTGGTGTGGGCTGTGGTATCTGAAGGACCTGTGCCTGCTGTCCTTTCTAGGGAGAGATCTGTAGAGCCCTTCTGCTTCCTGTGGCCTGGGCTGAGAGAGCTTCTAGCCCATCTAATAACTTCCTAACCCTGTCTCTTCTAGGATCAGATGTGCTAATCTTGGCTGAAAAGGTTCCCATGTCTGCTGAGCAACAATGCAAACAGATTCTAACTAAATAACAGAGATTCTGCTGAGAGGGAGACAGGGAGCATGGCATGTAGCTGATCTAAATTGGTTTTATTGTAAATATGGATATGAAAGGCCAGAGAAAAACCTGGAGCCCCAAACAGCCCAGGCGACCTGGAAGGTAATGAAGCTGCACAGACTATTCATAGTCACTCAGTACAGCGAACCACTGTACTCTTCCCAGATTCCTGTACCTCCGATCAGATAGATAGATGGCTTTCCAGCCTAGAAAGCCTACCTCGGCCAGCAGGGAGCTGAGGATGTACAAGGACTGTCCCCAAAGATGGGGCAGCTTCCCCAGTGGAATTCGGTCTACTGTGTGTGGGTTCTTGTACTCTTCATCCACCTGGCAGAGAAAATGACAAGTTCAAGGTCAGAATGTCAGAGGACACAAAGGCCTGCAATGGCCTATACTTGGGGAACACACTGACGATTTACAAAGCAGTTCTCAGCCTCTAGACCAATTCTGTGCAATACAGGATGGTGGACTCAGGTGGCAAAACCTTCCTCTCTCAGCACCCCATGGCTATAAGCAACAGGGGTGGATTTCAAATCTTGGCCTGGTCCGAGGCCAGTGTTCCTCCCATAAGCATACCCGGGGCCACTGGTGCTGGAAGCTTTGACCTGCCTGCTGTATACCCAGCTCTAGGTAGCAGGAAGCTCCACAGCTCTTGCTGATGGATGGCTGTGTTCTCATAAAAACCCAAACCAAACAGCAGCCTGCATAGGCACAGTGCACAGCTGGATGTCAAGCCCGCTTTCTTCTGCTGGCTTACCGTCCCCGGGGCTGTGTGCCCGTGCAAGAACATTACCAGAAGGTGGCACTATGCATTGAGGAAAACCAACGGTGCTGCTACCACTCCCCAGTCCACCTCCTTTAGAAAGTGGCATTTCCCCAGAGCTTTATCTTAGCAACCTAAGTTTCTGTGCTTTTTTTAAACCCTAGCAATGCCTGCTCATTCTGAGGACAGGGCCAGCTACATATGGGACGCTCTCCTTCTAAACTCCATGCTTCCCTTTAAGGTTTTAGTCACTGAAACATTGATTAAGGTAGTCACTCAAAGGAAACAGGAAACATTTATCCCTCTATAAGGGAAAAACTGTATCAAGTGTGTGTGTGTTGGGGGGGGGCGGGGAGTTCATTCTCAGTATTGTGGATTAATATTATCAATATGCTTAATAAAGATTTATATTTCTTGATAGTAAACATTTAAAAAATTTAAGTTTTGCACACACTGAATGGAGTTATCACTTGGTAGTCAAATAGTCAAGAAAGAAATAACAGTATGGAAGAAAATTCTCCAAAATGCAACAGTGGTTATTACTGAGTCATAGCATTAGGGATAGCAAATATTTTCTTCTTTCTACGGAACTCTGTATATATTTTACAATGTAGAGCGTTATTTACAATTGACTAGCACATTACATACACATCAAATACACTGAAATACAACTATTAAGGAAGACTGCAACAATCCAGACTGAGACTATCTATTGCAAAGAACAAAAAGCAGACAAGCTTTCTAGGTCAAAAATGAACTTGTTCTGCCCTTTTTTCCCACTAGAGTTCAATTCTACCTCTTCATGGAGTCATCTCTCTCCTCCCTATTCTGGTCCTTCTGAACTACTGTTTACAGGTGCATTTGTACCACGTCTTTGCTTCCATCTCTTCTGTGGCTGCCTCCATTTCACACCCTAGTTCTGTTTTCACCGTGCTTATAGACTCAAAGATACAGAATCACCTTATGTACCAGGCTGTGCCAGGCATGGAGCAGATGCTCACTACATGTTTGCTGGGCATACTTTCACTAGTGCCCAGTTGTGCAGTGGAGGGTCCATAGATGGTGGCACCTTGCCCAAGCATACAGGCTGCATGCCACACAGTCCCAGACTTTCCTATTTTGTACAAAGCTGCCATATAAGTTTGTGGTGTCTTGCAAGATTCCTTCCCAGTGGTCTCTAAATGTTATTGATGTGAATGAAGAACCTTGCCAACTCTCACCTGCAAAGCTAACACAAAAGGAAATTAAGGAAAAATACTGTCCAATGCTGGTGCCTAGTATATAAGCTAAATATACTGTACAAAATGAAGAAATTTGCAGGAGACGTCATGACACATAGAAAACATCCCTGGCAGATTCTGTAACTTCACCTGTATGGTGAGGCATGACAAAAGTCTTGTCCTTAATGTGTCCTAAGAAAGCTTGGATAACAGGAAATGTCTGGAAGCTCAGACTAGGTCTAGGCTGGTAGGACTGAGTGGGGTCTGGTCCCTGAGTGGAATCCAGGGTTGTCTTAGATTGGACAGGTTCCAGAGTCTCCCTCAATATAGTCAAGCTCTTTCATGTCCTTTGGTCATGTGTGTATGGGCCTGATTCAAACACAGAGTAGGTACATGTATGCTTCAAAGGTCTTTAGCTGCCACCGCCCTAGGATATCCATAGTCAGGCATAGTTCCACATGTTTCTCAAAGCCATAATTCCTTATGATGGATAGGAAAACTAGCCTTTAGAAACCACTTCTAGAGAAAAAGATCATTTGGCCTAAAAGGTAGGAGAATACCAAAGAGCCAAGTCCTAACTCACACAGTCTAGCTGAGCAGCACAAGGGGCTTACCACCAGCTGATTACCTTGTCTGGTGGGATGGCATAGAGTTCTGGCACCAAGTGGATCCCATCTTTGCCCCTGATTAAGATTCCTTCCAGAGCTTCTCGGTATTCTTGGACCTGGAAAACAGCCCCAGCATGTTTAGTGTGACAGAGGTCTGGCAGTTAGTGATGCAATGGCAATACAACTTAGAAAACAATTACAAACTAGGCCTCTTGGCAACAGAGCAAAAACTGCTAACATGCTTGGCTGTAGAAGACCAGAGAGGGACTCCTTCTGACACCATTGCCTGTCCCTCCCTGAGTCCAGGTCCACTTGCCAAGTTTCCAGGGAGAGGGAAAGGGCAGCCCCTGACGAAGTAGCTGTTTGGTCCTCAAACTTTCCATAGCACTGTCATTTATACTATGGACCAGACATCGTTCCTATACTCTTCTTTTTAAAATAACTTACTCTGAAGTTTTCTCATGTGTAAAATTTATCTTACCAAGTTTAAAACATCTTTGGTTAGAAATTCTATATTAGGCAGCATATTCTAGTTCTGCCTAAGTGGTAGTTTTCCAATCATCTATCTACCTATTAGATAGATGCTATACTATAAAGATGTGTTGTCCTCAGAATGGGAATCAGGATATGGGTTACATTAGGGAAGAGGTTTTGCTTTTGTTTCCACAGGAGAAGAAAAGCTATGGATACCATCAAAATTGATAAAGATTAGATTCAAACAGGAAAAGTCTCTTGATTAGAAGAGGTGACAGTTCAAGAGTCTGGTCATTCAATCTAAACTAACTTATAAGACTAACAAATGCCTCTTATTTGATCAGGTATAATGTCAAAAAGGAAACTCCCCAAAGTTAGGGCTGGGGCAGGCTTTTGTTTTTGTCTTTCCAGGAGAATGAAGGCATCTAGCATAAGAGTCTGAAGACCACTAGACAAATGAGACATCTGAAGAAAAGGGACAAATCATCCAGAGAAAATATCCCAAGAAAAAGAGTAAACTGCCGTAATGTTATAGCACGTTTGCAACAGGATAAAATTTCATAAATCTCCCCAAATGTTTGTTTCTGCTGTTTTCTACAGACATATAAGGCAAATGGTCTTTTTGTAGTCTCAGTTCAATTAAAAATTAAAGCTGGCTTTGGAGTTGGAGCATGGCTTTTTCCTTCTTTAAACCCAAACATGCTTGTTAAAGGAAAATCCAAAATCTCTGTCTCATGTCAGAAGAGCCACCTGGTATGGGACAGAAAGAAAACAAAATTAGGGGACTATTCTATTGCTACTAATCTCATGATCCTTTGGTTTTGACTCTTTAAATCTTTTATAAGGTATAAACATTATTTCAAAATTTGTAAGATTTATATATCTATTTAATATAAGATATATATATATATATATATATATATATATATATATATATATAAACTTTGTCATGATATTAATGGTCATATAGAGTACTAAATTTAGAAAAAGGTTGCATCTATCTTTGTGTACATGATTTCAGGCTTGAGTCTGAATTGGATAACTAGGAATTAAGTTTGTGTACTCCAGATGTACTTAACAAACTGTGGTCCTTTAAGCTCTCCAAGATCTGCTGTATACAACATTTAAAATATTTAAGTTTTCTGCAGTGAACTGTGACCGTTTCTAATAGTGACCTTTGAGGTCTCCAAAATGATCATGGGGCCCCACAATGATTCTGCCTAGATTGTGGTAATGTCACTAAGCTGACAAACACTATATAAAGATCAGCTCTGGACTACAAACTGCTCAGGACAATTTCAAGGTGGCTAGCTGAGGTGGTCCAGCCTCATGCACTACTCCAGCCAGGACTTCAGATAAGCCCTACACTGTCCCATTACACAGAGACTGGCAACAAATGATACAGCTAGCTCTCCCAGGACGTGACCAGTATCTCAATTTTCTCAGGGTCCCCTAGAGACGCAGTTGCGCCCCCCACCCCAGACAACAGGATGCAATCTAGAGAACATGACACCTACATTCCCAAGAGGTGGGGTGGGAGGTTTTTGGTCATTTGGTGGGTTATAGATTTTTGTCACTGTTTAGGGGTTGGTTACAAGTTGTTATTGGTAATAGTTAGGAAAAAAGTTGGATGAAGGAGATTAGATTCAGGGATCTTGTTCTGAAAAGAAAAAGGGGGGATATAGAAATGATAGGATAAAAGGGTAGATTATTGAATCTACTTTTAAACTAAAAAATCAACTATTAGTCATAAATATTTTACATTGGTATGCATTTTTGTATATTGATATAAATTTTAAGGTTATTTTTTGTTATACTGTATATATGTTTCTATTCTTGTTTTAGGTATTTTTATATATTGATACAAATTTAAGGTTATTTTTGTTAGTACATACTGTACATGTTTCTATTGCTGTTTAAGGTATTGCACCTATACAGCTCATTTAACAATGTAACGTAAATTTCTAGTCCTTGAAAGTTATTATTACAAACTATTGAGGATAATAAAGAAATGCAGGTTAGTAGTTAGTCACCTATTACAATCAAACTTGTAGTCATGTTAGGTATGTTTTCAAGGTCAAACATATATTTTAGATAGACAGGTGGTCTTCAAACACTTCAGAGATCTACAGAATATGGCATTTAAGATGTTTTAACAACATAAGGCTTTTCATGATAATGAGACACATCTGTACCTGGCAGCACCAATCTACTTCAAAAAAGGATAATGGGCATCAAAGAACCTCGATATGGAGTTTGCTTTATGGCAAAAGATAGCCATTTTGGCAAGAAACTGCCCTTGCCTCAACTGCTGACAGTATGTTGTCCAAACTGGACCATCAGGACACACAAAAAAAGTGACTGCCAAACTTGACCAAGACAGGGTAGGACAGTCCTTTAAAGTTCCTGCTTCACAGAGAAGTTTGTCAGATATTCCAGGACTGTAGGCCAAAGATGGATGTCCCAACACTGCAGAGAAACCTGGGGTGACTGTCTAGACAGCCAGCTGTTTTTGTTGTTTCTTTTAGTTTTAGAAGTCATTTGCTCTGCACTTACTGTTTACTCAGGTAATATTATATTATTCTGGGGTCTTTGATGGAGTTGAAGACTAGATAGTCATAGTTATATGTGGTGATATATTATGTCCCCCAATATACTGTGTCTCCCAATAAAATTTACAAGAGGATCAGAGGAAAAGGCCAGCCACATATTAAACAAAAGTCATGCAATGTTAGCACATGCCTTTAATCCTATCACTTGGGAGGCAGGGATCTGTTGGATCTATGTGAGTTCAAGCCACATTAGGAACAGAACCAGGTGCAGTGACACACACCTCAAATTCCAACATTAGTTAACCATGGAGGTCTGGAGGTCTGTACAGACAGACAGGAAGTGACAGAGCTGGGCAGGAAGAGGAAGGATGTAGTTGGACAGAGAGAGCAAATCAGATGGCAGAACAGCAAGGCATAAAGGTGTGGGTAGACAGGAAATATCTCAATTTTTGGAAGCTGAGGACTTGGTAAGGTAAGATTAGCTGTGGCTGTTCCTATTCCTCTGATCTCTCTCAGGCTTTAACCCCAATTTCCGGCTCCGAGTTTTTTTATTTAATAAGACCATTTAGAAATTCGTTTACAGTTATAGTTTTCCTTACTTATGATAGAAGGTAAATGAAGTATAGAGCCTTGGACTTATCATGATAGAATAAATAATGGAGCATTTTCTCCAAATATGCCAGATACAAATGGACTGCACATTGTAAATGTAATTCTTACCTGATAATTGTTCTTATTGTTTATAGTTTTATTATGTTAGAGTTAAAACCTTTCCTTTTTATTTAGACAAAAAGGGGGAAATGTTGTGGAATAGTCTTTTTGTACACTATGAAGATTTGTCACTTAGATTAGTTTAATAAAAAGATGAATGGCCCATAGCCAGGTAGGATTTTTGGGGTGGAGAGGATGCTGGGAAGAAGAAGGGCAGAGACATGGAGAGTCACCAGCCAGAGACAGAGGAAGCAGGAAAGCAGCATGGGCAGTACAGAGTAAAGGTAATAAAGCCATGAGGCAGAAAGTAAATTAATGGAAATGGGTTAATTTAAGTTATAAGAGTTAGTTAGAAACAAGCCTAAGATATCAACTGAGCTTTCATAACTAATAATAAGTTTCCATGTGATTTGGGAGCTGGCAGGAGGACAGAAAAATCTACCTACAGAATCCCTAAAGCTCACTGCCCAGTCAGTTGAGCTGAATCAGTAAGTTCTACTAATGAGAGATCCTATCTCAAAAAATAACGCAGAGAGAGTCAGGGAGCAACTGAAGATATCCAACATCAATCTCTGGTTTTCACACATGGAACCCTCTACACACACACACACACACACACACACACACACACACACACACACACAATGTTTATTGGTTAGAAAATATTTGCTGGGATTGGAAATATATCATGGTGGTAGTGCTTACCTATAATGTACAAAGTCCAAGTTGTACCTCATCCTCAGCACAAAACACACACACACACACACACACACACACACACACACACACACACACACACACTTATATGTCAACAAGGGCTAGAGATGTAGATGAGTGGTAAAGTACTTGCCTTGCATACACAAGGCCTTGGTTCTGAACCCTTATAGTGCCCAAAAATCTAAATATGTCAACTAGAAGAGATAGCATAGGTGTGGGGTAGCAGATTGATTCTCTGAGAGTTATAAAACAGGATATAATAATGAAGTAACAAATGAAGACATCATTTGAGCATGTTTTTTTGTTATGACTGTTTGCTTACTCTAAACCCTTACCTTATTCAAAACTAATGTTAAAAGATTCAAGTTTTTTCATTGTCATTATAAATACAACCCATGTTCATACACATACACATTCACTCATTATTCAGTATAATTTGGATAAGGCAAAAAAGCGAGTTTTTAAATTAAACACGAATTTCATTTACTCTAGTGAGAGATATCCAAAGATTTGGGTTAATTCTTATCTAAATTATACAAAAGACATCAATGTCTAAGAACAACAACATTTGTGAAGTTTTATGCCATAAGTATCGAGTTTCTTGATTTAATTAGTATCTATAATGTCATATAGTACAATCAGCTGGGATTAAAAATGAATTAAATATTTGTATTTTACTAATAAAAAGGGAGACTATTCTACAGTGATATCTTCCGAAGTTCCATTTCTAATCATTTAAATATAAGTAAGATAGTTCATTGAGTACAACTGTAAATACAGGGGGATTTACAATCAGTCTCATGAAAAATTATGTCAATTCTGGCTATTTTCAACATGTTTATCTCATCTGTAACATTCACTCCATTAGGTCAAACTTTGTTCTGGAATTCTTAATTTTAGGTATAGTAATCTGTGTCACATGTAAATGTTATATCATATATAGAAGGGTTGAAAGATGATTCAGATCCAGATCATGATGCCAATAGTTTTCATATGATCCAGGAGTTTCTTTTTCTTTTTATTTATTCTTCTCTCATATAATATATCTGGACCCTTGCTTCCCCTCCTTCCATTCCTCCCAGTTCCCTCTCCCATCTCCCACAAATTCACTCCTCTTCTCTTTCCCTTCAGAAAAGGGCAGGCCTTCCGGGGATATCAACCGAACCCAGTATAACAAGTTACAATAAGACTAGGCACCTCACCTCGGATTAAGGTTGGACGAGGTGACCCAGTAGGAGGAAAATTGACCCAAGAGCAGGCAAGAGTCAGAGACACCCACTTCTACTGTCAGGTGTCCCACAAGAACACCAAGCTAAACAACCAGAGCATGTATGCAGAGAGCCTGGTACAGGCCCTTGCAGGCTCTATGATTGCTGCTTCAGTGTCTGTGAGCTCCTAGATTCCCTGCTTAGTTCAATCTGTGGGCTCTGTTCTGATCCAGGAGTTTCTTAACAGCCTTCTCTCCTGAAGACTCCTTCCTGCCTCATCTGTATCAGATCCTCGAAAAGGGCCTTCCTAGCTATAAGTAACCTTACAATATTTGATATATAATATTTGGACCCTGAATGCACAAATTAAGATGCTTGGCAAACATGGGGAACTGTGAACAAAAAGCTCTTGAAAGGAATCTGTGGTGCAAATCAATTGGTCTTAATAATAAAAACCCAGAGTCAGCTATCAGGGCAAATGCTGAAAGTTCAGAGAAGTAAAGCAGCTAGCCAAAGTCACCTTTGACCTCCATGATTCTCTGAGCTCCTGTCTCCTCCTGCCTTATATTATATTTCTCTCTCCACCCAGCCGTATCACTTCCTGTCTCTACCTCCCTAGTGCTGCAATTAAAGGCATGTGCCTCCCAAGTACTAGGATCAAAAGCATGAGATCCCAAGTGCTGGGATTAAAGATATGAACCTCCACCGCCTGGCTCTGTTTCTCTTTTAGACTGGATCAATCTTGTGTAGCCCAGGGGAGCCTTGAACTACTGATCTTCCTGCTTCCTCCTCCCAAATGCTGGGATTAAAAGTGTGTGCCACCACTGCCTGGCCTCTATGGCTAACTAGTGGCTAGCTCCGCACTCTGATCTTCAGGCAAGCTTTATTTGTTAGAGCACAAACAAAATATCACCACAGGAATCTGTATATGCAGAGACTGATTAGTGACTAGAATTTCAGTACTGTGGAAAGATTGGAATGTTGCCAAGTCCAGAAGCTAGTGACCTTATTTTGAAGTGGGTCTAGCCCTCCAAAGCAGCCACTCTTTGCCCACTTCTGTGTTAGAAATAACACCCTGTGACTAATAATAAAACCCTTTTGGAATTTTTAAATTTAGCAGACCACTAGCTTCCACCACCTCAAAAGCTCAAATAGCATTTGGGGCTTACAGAAAAGCTTCTCCTATCTCTGTACCTGCCTCTCTGGTGTACCCACCCTACCAATGTATTTTAAACTTGCCTTGATTTATGACTTGCTTTCTTCTGTAAAACTATATAAACTTCATGAAACTGTTTCCATGTTGGAACATGGAATTTGGAGTAGCCTAAATACATGTTCCTGGATCATGGACACTTAAAATGGTTACAGAATAAAGTATCTCTTATTCCCTTAAAAAAGATATGAAGCATAGTCATTTTAATCTCCTTATCTCCCCCCCCCCCCGATCCCTTGATCATTGCTAAGTCTATTTTTCACTGAAATTCAAAGTCAGTCATTCGGAGAACTTCCAATACTTAGAATAAAAGACAAGAAGGCCCGAGATAAACTCTAAGCACAATGTAAGAATGAATAAGCCGGGCGGTGGTGGCGCACGCCTTTAATCCCAGCACTCGGGAGGCAGAGGCAGGCGGATCTTTGTGATTTCAAGGCCAGCCTGGTCTACAAAGCGAGTTCCAGGAAAGGCGCAAAACTATACAGAGAAACCCTGTCTCGAAAAAAGCAAAAA